TGGCTCTAGAGGACATTCCCACATCTCCTCATTAAATAACATTACTTGTGATTACAGTACAAGCTGACCCCAGAAGCTTTCGTCTCCATCAACCAAGTGATTCTTGGAGTCTGTTCTCCACCTTGATACAATCTGTCACCTATCACAGCCTCCTCTTAGAAATCACAAGTAGTTTCACTTCCAAAACAATGTGCATGAGTGCTCTCTCTGCCTTTCTCTAGTTTTGCATCACAAGAATAAACCCGCCTGTGTGTAGAGTTGAAGGTTGTGAGGAATAATCCCAGAAAAACAGAGACACTTGTAGTAACTGTTAAGAAACAGATAATAAATGACATTGGTTTGGACAAGAGTGTACAGTGTATGGAGCAAAGTGGAGGAACTGGAGACTTATTTAAGGGGTGCAGTCCAGAGTAGACATGGGACGAAGGGTGAGGGACACTGAGGAATCAAAGATAAACTTTGATTATTGGCTTGGCAATTTCTCAGTGGTGCTCTAACGTTTCCCAGTCAGCTGTTCTTGTAAAAGCAAAAGCCCACTTTCAGGCAAACTGTTCTACTTGTTGGCTTCACACTTCCATTCATATAAAACTTCAACACAGGACACACTGGGGCTTCTATGTTCCATTTCAAAGATAAAAACAAAACCAAAGGATTTAAAAAGCTTCCCTATGATCTTTGAGACTTTCTGCCACTTAAAATCTATACCTAAACTACTACTGATCTCTTTCATTATTAGGAAGAGACATTTTACACAATTTTCGTCAATAGCAAGCCGACTGTAGACATTACAATATAGCTTTCATGATGCCTGTGTCACTTGATGGTGTACAGTAGATCAAGTACAGTAGATCATCTAGACCATTTAAAATAAGATATTATCCTTGTAATACAGCAACACTTTTTATTTTAGAGAGACATAGTTCAAAATAGTGAAAAAACCCGCTTAAATCTTTTCAGCACTTCCCTGACCCTTTGAAATATAGTTCACAGACCTCACATTGGAAGCTTTGAGTGCTTATCAAGGCAGAAGTGCAATTGTTTAAGGAGAGTTTGAGGATGTAAGAATTAATCAGGTTGAGGTTCCAGGGGACAGCATTGAAACACTGGACAGGAAAGAAGAGAGTGAGATAGTGCTTGGTGGAATGAGCAACAAGCAGTTTGGGGCTTCAAGGCCTGGGCAATCACTAGCAAAGGCAACTGGAGTATGAAGTAGCTGATCTGAAGCTTGCCACAATTCATTCCGGCCATTCTCTCATTGACGGGGAAAAGTATGCTTCTCAGGAAATACCCAGAGCTTAGATTGATTGCAGCATCCTAAGAAAGCTGGTGTCTCATAGATGGGAAATTGTGGCCCTGGGGAAAAACTAAACAGGGTTCTTTATTGATTCCTTGGGGTCCTAGGGGCAGCTAACACATTGTGGAAGCATTTTAGAATTGTTTAGTGCTTATTTCTCTTAATGTTTCACCTTGGCCTCCGTAAGTCTCCTACAAGGAGGGGGAAAAAGAAGTTCACTGTTTCTGGTTTTCACAAGTCTGGAAACCAGAATGATGAATTCCTTACAAAATCAAACAGATTCCCTTTTCATAGCTGTTACCAAAGTACCTTATGGAATTTATGTCTCTTCTGAGAGTCTCTCTTTATTCCAAGCTGCTGGAAAAGATTGTGCCTGCTTTGTGGAAAGGATCTAGGCAAAACAAAAATTTATTTCTTTTACATTTACTGGCCACAGTGATTCTAGGTGATATTTATGTTTTTCATTCCTATCTTGCTCTATTCCTTTCCTCCCTATACTTATATTTAACAAGTTAATATTTGCAAATTTGGTTAATAGTCAATATTTGCAACTTTGATTAATATTATATCTGTGTTTCTCTCTAGACTACAAACATCCACAGAACAAAATTCATGATTATTCTAGTACCTTTTCTATCCCCAGTACCTATCCCAATATTTGGCGTGGATAATTGTACAATACAATATTTCTTGTACAATTAAATGTATGCTGAAATATTTTACAATTTTTCTATCTTCCTGTACATGTTTTTAATGAAGAAAACTTAAATCTGTTCTTAAAGCAGAATATTTTCTCACTTGAGCTGGGAATAGGACCATGTGTACAAAAAACAAATTGTGCAAAATAGTTCATGGAGCATGTGTAAGTAATTTATGAATTAAAAGAACCTGGGTATACATTTTTCAAGTCAGATATTTCCGTTGTCCAATTCTCACTGATATTGTTTTATTTTTCTCTTTGGTGGTAGAGCTGAATTTCTGTTATTTATTTCTAAAGAAAGGGCACATAAAATATACAAAAGAAAATGGTTAACTATTTGCTATGATTTGAACGTGTTCCTCAAAGGTCCACATTTAGACATGGACCTTTGAGGGACACATTCAAATCATAGCAAAAAGTTAACCATTTTCTTTTTTAAGAAAGAAAGGGCTGGTCCCTTTAAACATGGACCTTTATAGCTGGCCATATTGGCAAGTGCTGTAGACTTTGAAGAGATGAAGCCTAGTGGTACTCACTGAAGTCCCTTGGTGCATACTTGAGGGAGTTTGTGAGCCTTTGCCTGACTCTATTTTGCTCTGTTTCCCTGTTTATGATGGGACCACTGTGAATAATGATAATTTCATTTCTTCCTTTTCTATTCTTACTCCTTTTATATCTCTCTCTTATCTAATTGCTCTGGCAAATGTTTCCAGAACTATGTTGAATAGGAGTGGTGACAGTGGAAATCCTTGTCTTGTTTCTGATTTTAAAGTGAAAGCTTTAAGGTTTTGTCCATTTAGTATGATGTTGGCTGCTGGTTTGTCATAGATGGCTTTGATTGGATTGAGGTAAAGACCATCTATTCCTATTTTCTGTAGGGTTCTTATCATGAATGCATGTTGAACTTTGTCAAAAGCTTTTTCTGCATCAATTGAGATGATTATGTGATGTTTGTCTTTGGCTCTGTTGATATGGTGTATTACACTGATTGAGTTGCATATATTGAACCATCCTTGAATCAGACCTGCATGTGTAAACACTGTATTGTCTCACTAGTGTAAGAACCTGAAAGAGTGAATAAAATCCAGGAGGTACAATAGATATTGTGAAAGGGAAGGAAACTGCTCAAAAGGAAAGAACAACTGGCATGAGAGAAAAGAGAAAAGAAAGAATGAAGGGAAAAATATGTATATATATGTATACACAAGATAGCTAAGATAGTTGTACTACTGATTTCTATCACTTTATTGAAAGGAACAGTTAATGTTTAATTGTTTGATCAATCTTACATGCCTATATTTGTGTATCTGAGTCACCAATTTGAAGATATCATTATGTAATACAACAACCATTGTTAATTTCTTGTCACCTTGTCTGAAATACTGTATTGCTTGTTTTGTTTTTGTGCTATTTTGTAGGTGTTTGTGTGTATTTTGATATGTTTTTGTTCTTTTATCTTTCAAAAAAGTGATGGGACCACTTTCTCCAACACGTACTCCTGTTAATGCCGACCACTGTCCTTACTCAATAGACACATGCCCAAATCACTGGTCTGTTTGATTTATGAATTTAAAGTACCAAACCATTAGCTAATAAACCTTTTCTCTTTATAAGTTCATTGCTGCAGGTATTTTGTTGTAATAGCATGAAGTTAACTAAAATAGTATTAGCTCTTGGGTTTATTTCTGACACTAAATGTGAATTTGGCTGAGTTATAAACTGAGCCTAAGTCTTGTAAGCTATAAAATGGGGAAAAGCTCATATACCTATTTTTTTTTTCTGGGAAGAATATTGTCAGACTAAAATAATTATACATAAATTACTTTGGTAAAAATTATTCAACCTACAGATTTCTTTTTGATTTTATATACAGTAAACACTTGAATGATAGAGAATGACTACAGAAGTGATGAAATTGATGGCATCTATCTATTTGTACTTTATAATAGCCAATATTGGGTTACATGTTTTATTACATTTTCTTATTTAATTCTAAAAAAATGTTAATTTCCTTTTCTATCCCATCTTTTTCTTCTGTCATTTTTTCTTGAAACTACCTTACTAAAAGAGGTGACTTGGTAAGCCTTTAGTCAATCTATTTTTCTTGGGGTCACTAATGGACTCTATGTTGCAGATGCCAGTGGTCACTTTATCCCTCATCCTATTCAAATACTCTATAGCAGACAATAGTAGATTGCATTCTCTTCCTTAAAGCATTGAATTCATCTGGTTCTAGCATACTAACCTCCTATGACTTTTTTTTACATTACTATTATCTTCTTGACATATAAGTATTGGAGACCTCTAGAGTTCAGATGCTTACTCTCTTTTCTATTTGAATGTATTGACATAAGAATCTCAGTCTTTATAGTTTGAATACACTGCATTGCCTGATAATGCCAAAAGTTTGAGATACATTCTCAGCCTCTTCTCAGAATATATACTAATATATCCAGTGTTCTCTTTAGTATTGCCACATGGATTTCTAATTAATATCTTTAACAATACTCTTTTCAGTTCCTCTCCTTTCTATGTATTGTTAGATTTAGTCTTCCACATTTCAGGAAATAACACTTCCATTCTCCCAAAATTATGAAATAAAAAATATTTTTCACAACTCATAACCTATTAGAAATTATATTGTACCTAATTTCAAATTCATCACTAATTTAATGACATTTAGCTACTCCCAGGTGCCCTCCTTGCATTTGAAGCTTGCATCATTTGGGGGGCTTATTGTGTTATTGCAATGGCCTTTTCTTGGTCTTTTTGTATCCACTGCTGTTTCCTTGGAGTCTGTTTTCTACATAGGAGCCAGAGTGATTCTTCGAAACATAATTGGAACTTAATAATCCCTCATCAAAAGTGTTCAGTGATTTCTGTCACAGAATAAAATCCAAAATCTTATTATGGCAGAAACATTCCTGTATGAGTTAATTTCTGGAAACCTTTTAAATTCAACTCATAAATCACTGAGCACCAGTTTCACAAATCCTTTCTACTTACTTTTTCTCAAATTCACCAAAATATCCCAGCATAGACATCCCAGGATGCTTTCCCTCTGCTTAAATGGCTTTTCCCTAAATATTCACTTGATTGCTTCCTCATATGCTTCATGTGTCTGATCAGAAAATTTCTTGTGTCAGTCAGTTTTCCATTATTGTAACAGATACCTGAGGTAACGTGGAAAAACAAAATTTTTAATCACAGACACCAGAGATAATTGACTTATAAAGACAAAAGTTTTACAGTTTTAAAAGTGTGAGTCCATGGTCAATTGGCCCATACCACGATTAATCGTCAGTGTCAACTTGATTGGCTTGAGAAATGCTAAGGAGATTATCAAAGCCCACTTCTGTGTGTGTCTGGGTGGTTCATGAGGACACGATGTGGGGGTTCTACCTGGCCTCTTGCCCTTTCCTCTTTTGCTTTTTCCTTGCTCTGGTTCACAGTGGTGAGCAGCTTTCTTGGGCTCTGCCTTTCCACCATGGTGCTTCTGCCTCGGAGCCAGGCAACAGTGGACTGAAATGTCTGAAATTGGGATAATATCAGCCTCCCCTCCTTTAAGTTGTCTACATCAAGCATTTTGTGCCAGCAATAAGAAAGTAGATGAATGCAGCCCGAATGCTTTGGTTAAGGTAGCACACCTTAACCCTGGGGACAGCATGTGGCAGAGTAACACTGCACACCTTATACCCAGAAAATGAATGAAACAGAGTAGAAGGGGCTGGAGTCCCACTATCCACTTCAAAGTCATGCCCTCGGTGACCTAAAGACCTCTTGCTAGTCCTCAGCTCATTATATTTTTGTAGTGGTACTAGGGATTGAACTCAGGGACTCACACTGAGCTACACTTCAAGTCCATTTGTTAGTTAGTTTGTTTATTTATTTATTTTGAGGCAGGGTCTTTCTAGTTCCCTAAATTGTAGAAGGCTGGGCTTGAACTTGCAATCTTCCTGTCTTAGCCTCCCACAGAGCTGGACTTACAGGCACGCATCATGGTGTTGAACTGGCCCTACCTCTTAAAGTTTCTCCCATCTCCCAATGGTGCCACTATGAGGAGCACACCTTTACCACACGGGCCTTGAAGGACTTCAAAGAAATAAACTCACAATCCTCATTAGAGGCCCTTCCAACTTTTACTCTCATCTGATCACTATCAGCTTATGTAGAATTATTTTTTTGAAATAATTAGTGCTGTCTGAGATTACATTTTGTTTTAACCTTTTATTATAAGCTACACATAGGTAGTACACTATCTAGAAGGGCTTGGCATACAGTAGCACAAAATAAAAGTATGTGCTTTTTAGTATTTGGAGATGCCTCTGTGGGCACTTTGACCTTCTTCCTTTCGTTAGAACCACAACTGAGACTCAGAGTGATCTGGTCACTTTGTCAAGATTATGTAACTAGTAAATGGTATAATCTGAGTTTAAAACCTAATCTGATAGTGAATCTCACACTGAGTCCCTATGCCATATTGCTTTCCTTTTTATACTGCGCTGTTTTCACTCAATCCACAATTATCTTGAAAAGTCAGGACCCTAAAGTTTTCATAAACATTTGCTAAATTTGTCAGAGTGTTTATATGTGTGCTTACATTTCAGCATTTGTTGCCTTTTTCACGACTTCCTCAAGGTTCACACACACACACACACACACACACACACACTCAACAGCATATGTTTCAACTTCCCCGAAGGAAGATTTAAAGAGAAGAAAAACACTTCCAAAACACATCGATGCAAAAGATTGTTTAAAAACAATCAATGACACATCACTGACAATTGGATAAATGTACAGCTCCTAAGACTTTCAGACCACCAAGTGAAAGTAATAGAGTCAGATGACTTTTATCTCTTTGATCGCAGGTTCAGGTTTAGCATAGGCCTGAAGCAGTGCTTAAACCACAGCACTGTTACAACAGGAGCTATTGACCTTCGTATTACAGAGGGCCTCATACAGTTATTGAAGTGGAGTTTTACTGATTTTTAACACAGAAAGATTCTTCTTAGAGTAAATCCAGCAGCTGTCTTTTTAAAGATACCCTTATGAAATGCTTTTTTTTTGTCTTTTAAATAATTCATTTTTATTTTGCTCACATTTTAAGGGAAAACTTGAGTATGAAAATCAAAAGATCCTAGTTTTGTCTGGGGTATGTCAATGTTTGGATCAAAGTTAAGAGAAAACCAACCTTATATCATCTAATACCAAGAATTGGATGTACAAAGATACATGAATAATTTTCCCTTTTTCTATGGGATAGGATAATAACAGCATTTATGGAATCCTGCTTGTATCACTACTAGTTTGTGGTAGTGTGCATTACTTTTGTGTGTGTGTCAGCTTCTGAATGTGTAAATTGGTAATATACTATTGCCAACCCATACGTTTTGATGAAGTTTAGATGAGAAATGCCAAGCACTTAGTGGGATTGCTCAGGAGGTAGCAGCTATTGTAGTATGTGTATGACCAAGGGATCCAGGGTTTCTCTCTGTGGCACCATCAACATTGTAGGTTAAACAGCCTTTATGGTAGGGTGCTGCACTGTGGAGGTAGGCCTCTAATCACTAGATGCCAATGACAGCCCCCTTCTTCCTGGCTATGATAACAAAAATGTCTCTAGACATAGCAGATGCCTCCCTGGGTGGCAAAAAGTGCTGAGAACCACTGCACTGGACTACTACAACATATACATTACCTTATTTATTTTACACAATAATTGCATAGGGTAGGAAACAATGTGGTCCCATTATTACAAATGAGGAGGGTAGAAATTAGGAATGTTGAATATTCACCTTGACATATAGCTAGCATGGACTGAGCTGCTACTAGAATCTGACTGTGCCTGAGAACACAGCCTGGATAGTGTTGGTTGCATTGACCTGAATTTAGATTGTCCTTGGTAATATTTCTGGTGATTGCTTGTTCCTGTGCAAAATGCCAAGAAGTCAATGTTTCATCCCATTTCTGCTATTCCTTAGCTCAGGAATCTATCTAACTTTGTAGTCCTTTCCCCTTCCTCTTATTGCTGCTCTTTTCTTTTGTTTCAAAGAAGAGTTTACCTTTCTACTTCATCATAGAAATGCAATAATGAGCATGGCTTGCTACCTCTTCCATCATTTGCACAGGCAGTTTAACGTTAAAATGAAAGTTTCAACTCTTCCCAGCAACCAGTACAATCTTTGGTTCTGGTACTTGTCATTGAGAGTAACACTGAGTTGCCCTTTGCTTCAAAGTTTATTATAAATTTAATTGAGAAGAATGAATTCAGAAAATATCATCTAAAGAATTTGTAGTGTTTCGAGGATAGAGAAAGGAAAGATAAACAAAATAAATCGATCAACCTTTCCTCGCTTAAAAAGTAAGGGTAGCTCCTAAATAGTATGTGAGTATGCTGAATGTGGTCTTTCCTAGATTTTTCTTGATCTTAGATTTTTAAATTTTATTTTATTTTATATTTTGGTACCAGAACTCAAACTCATGACTTGGTGCTTGCCAGGCAGGTGCTGTGCTGCTAAGCTATATATCCCTTTTATTTTTTAAAAATGGTACTTATCTTTAAATGAAAATTAAAATGATGTATATTTCTAGCATGTAACATGATAACTGAAATGTGTATTCATTGTGGAATGGCTCAGTTGAGCTAAGTAACATAACCGTACAGGTTCTATGTTCAATGATGCAGATTTGTATTCAGGTAAGAGGACTCGGAGAAAGAGATCAGGGTATATTTTCTGTCTTTGTCTTACCGAATCTCTCTGCTACAGTTTTCACTTTTGTGGCTCCCATAACATTAATATGTCATGAATTCTCCTCCTATCTCTGGTCAGCTCGTTGCTGTTTCCTTTCTTAGTTGCTTTTCTTTCAGGAATCTCTAAAATAATTGTGCCCCAGGGTGGGGTCCTCAATTCACAGTTCGTCTCACCTTCTGTATTCTTTGAGCAATGTTATTCCACTTTAGGGTTTCAGATAATAGCATTTGTCTGTGGATTCCAAGTCCAGGTCTTCAGCTAGGGATGCACTTTGAGACTCAGACTCACTGGTTCACTTTCCAGCTCAGTACCTTTGCAGGAATATTCCATAGTTACTTGTGGTACAAAATGCTCTGCTTAAATTGACTTATTTTTCTTAATTGGTACCACCATCTTCATCCAATTACTTAAGCAAGAACTTGGGCTTCATATAGAATTTTGCAGACTTTCACCTCTTTATTTCCAATCAGCAAATATGGATAATTCAAAATGTTCTTAGTTTTTAAATACAGGGTTTCCCTAAGCAATTCAGGGTGGCCTTAAACTCACTTGGTAGCTCAGGCTGGCCCCCAACTCACAGTGATCCTCCTGGCTCAGCCTACCGAGTGCTGGGATTACAGTATGTGCTGCCGTGCCTGGCTGATTTTAGTTTTAAACATATTTTCAGTTCACTTTTTCCCTCTGTGTATTTATCATTATCATTATGAGGTGTGATCAACAAATAATGTGCATATTTAAATATTTAAAAAGCTATTATAGTAAAAGACACATTGCCACTAATCTTCCTCAAAACACTCCTTGCTTCAGACACACTTATCCCACCATTCTTGCCACCTTCTGAAACAGTTCTGGAAATCTTTGTCTTTAGTTGTACTGTCTTGGCTGCTTGGATGGGCTGAACTGATCAAAAATGTTTACCTTTCATGGTCATTTTTACTTTGGGGAGAAGAACTAGCAGTCACATGGTATCAGATCCAGTGAAAAAAGGGGAAGAGAACACACTCTAATGTTTTAGAAGCCTGCCTTTCTGTCAGATGGCACTGGCTAACATTAGTCACTGTTTTTTAAATCATATATTATAAAGACACTCCTGAAAGAAGACACCCAGAACTGCTTCAGAAAGTGGCAAGAATGATGGGATAAGTGCATTCTTCCAAGCAAGGGGGAGTACACTAAGAGGGGTTAATGGCAATGAGCCTTTTACTGTAAAAATTTTTAAACATGCATCATATATTTTCATCACCCCTTGCATCTCTCATCAGAAGTGCTGCCATGATTTCTCAAAAGGTTATTAAGGCAGCACAATTTACAATTTATTCACAATGACTTTGAAATCTTTCTTGATGTGGCTCCTGCTTATCTTTTTGTTATTGGCACTTGTCTTCCACTGGGTACTCAAGTAATAGTGAGTGGCCTGTGATTCCCTAGGAGTGATTTGCCCCTCTTTGCCTTCGCTCTGTTGCCATTTTTATCTGAGGTGCTGTTGTGGTTTGTGTCTGGGCATCCCCCTCAAAGACACATGCAATCATGGGGCAGACCTTTAGCTTTTATGATTGATCCATGATCCAACGCTGAGATTATGGGTGTGAGTGCTATACCCGCCCTGGGGCAGATAGTTTTCATATGTAAGGGAAAGAAAGAGGCTGCTTGCTGCCACTCCTCCCTTTTGCTTGTTGCTTTTGCTATCTTCCACCACCATGAACTGTTGCCCACTGCCATGTGCCACTCTGCCTTGGAGCCAGCCAAGCACGGACTGAAACCTCCACAGACTGTGGAGGTTTAAGCTAAATAAACCTTTCCTTACTTAATTTTGGGTGTCAGGTATTTTGTCTCAGCAAGGATAGAAAAGTAACCAAGACAAGTGCCCTTTTCCCAATGATCTTATCCAGAAAGTTTATGGTGAGCCTTTCTGTTCTTCCTCCAATAACTCTCTCTGTCTCTCTCTTTTTTTTTTCTTCCTCCAATAACTCTCAATCCTCCAAAATAATTATTCTGGGCATCTTCTTATAATTACCCTACCATATTACTACATTATCATTGATTCTCCTTTCTTTATCTCTTATCTTTACACATGTTCTTTATATACACAGCCACTTCTTCAAAGGTAAAGACTTCATAAATATTCCGCAAAAAAATGACACATATCTCACTAAGTTGGTAACTGATCTACTAGCAGTCTCACTGCACTGATCCAATGAAATTTACCAAAGGGGCTTTAAAAACAATAATCTTTCAATGTAGTTAAACTTTTGTGGTATATAGGTGAATGTTAGCTCTGATTGATAAATTAAATAGAATACTATAATTTTTATTTACCTTTCCACCCTCACTAAAGCATCAGATATTTTCTTTGCTTATGGCAGAGACCCTGGCTTGTCAAAGTAGATGTTGGTGTAAGCTGTTGTACAATAAGGGGATATATATGACCAGTGGAATTGAATAGGAAAGTGGTGCTGGATTCAAGGCCAGCATTTTTGATCAAATCTGTTTGCTCCAATGTACTTACCTTGAGGCTATAGCCATCAATATTATCTCTAGGTAAAGAATGGGAGGTAGATTCCATCAATATGTACAGGTGTGTGCTTCAAACTTTTTATATTAAACAGCACTTCTAAGTCACAGAATAAAACTATAAAAGGATCATTGCAATTTTTAATTAAACATTGTGATCTCAGTGAATTAAAATTGTACGAGAATAAAAATATTTCATGCAATTTTTCAGGAACAGATTGAAATATTGGAAAACACCTGTTCTTTAGGTTCATAAATACATCTCATTATTACTACTTACATTGCTATTGAATATATATTCAATATTCCTTTCATTGTTGATTAAATGTGGGCATATTTTTAACATATACTATATCTTTGTATAAGGATCATATACATGCATAAAAGTAACAAGTGTTTTAAAATGTCATTATCCTTAATAATAAAAAATGTGTCCTGTATGTGTTAAAACTTTTAAGTAATAATTGCTTTGTGACATATGCAAAATTGTTGAGTATATCATTTAATGTACATTATGAAATAAAATTGTTGGGGTTTTTAGGATATTTTGTTATTGATTTAGAAGTTTCATGTTTGTTTTTTTTTTGTCAAAAATCTCTCACTAGAGGTGAAAGACATTTCCACATCTATAAATAGTGTCATAATGATGTCAAACTTGACTCAAGTGGATCAACAAGGCTTTATGCTTCTTGTTTGTACTCATTTTTAGTGATCAGCCACTGAGCAAGACAGTATTTTTGTGACACTTTCAATCTATAAGACTGAGTGAGCTGCTGTTTACCAACATCTAGCCAGAGACATTAGCATGAACAAGCTGACTCCTGTATGGCCTGGTGCCAACTCTGGGTCATGGGTGTGAATGCACGTACCTCTTACGATGAGCTGTACTATCTTTATTTCCCAGACAGCAAACAGCAGAAAGATCTCACACCATTAGCATCAATGTGAAACAAATACCAGCTTCCTGCACTCCAGGCTCCATTCTGGGAAGGGAAGAAACACTGAAGGCAGAATCCATGCACATAACTCCTAAAAAGTAGAACAATCTTTCTATGGCAGTGAACAATGCGAGTCTTTAACGTTTCCCATGTCCATATCCTGTCATGACTCTACTATCCTTACTATTTTGAATCAAGATGAATCAAGGTGAATAAATTGGGGCTACCAACATACTCATTTTATAGTGGCATGATTTTCTTTTCTAATGATTTATAGCTATCTGCTGCAAAACAACTTGTGTTTATTCATTAAAACAATTACTTTGATTTTCAATCATGTACATTCTCTAAGATCCACTAATATTAGTAATATTTTTGTGCATGTGTATTAAAGAGGGAGGAAAAGAAGATTATCATATTCTTTTCTGTGTGAAAGTTCTCTCTGTTCTCGGCAGGGAAATTAAACTCTTAGAGCAAATATGACCCTGAAGACCTGCTCTTAAAAGAAAAAATATATTATTGCATTACTACTTCTTGAGATTTCAAAAAAGTAGTTCTGATTGCAAATCTCAGCATAATAAGTGCTAAATAGCTCTCCTCTTTACATCTGGAGACTCTTGCAGTTCTTTGCACTTTTAGTCTTAGATTAGGATGATATCTAATCAATTTATTAATTGTTGATGGTCCAGAACAGCTTCCAGTAAAATTTCATCCAGCTTTCAGCAAAGGTTAAGTGACTCTGGGAAAGAATATAAATATTCTCTAAATTTCGGGCTACACAATGGTGGAATGAACACATGGAGATTGAAAAATGGTTATTTGCCTTATTTTAGTTGAAAACAAAGAAAAAAGAAATGGTCCCATTATTTGAATGTATATTTTAGAGTGAACTAAGCTAGTTATTCATTAAGATACAAACTAAGGCTTGAACAAAAATAATAGGTTTTTGAGGAAACATTATTCTTACTTCACACTTGAGGAAAAGATGCATACCCGACTTTTGCTGGTTCAAAATGATGAGTTCTGTTTGCTATTTTCATTGTTTATAAAATAAAACCATCAAAATCACTTTTTCCCCCACCTTCCCCCAAGGAAATAGTTGTTTTATCATTAAACTCAGGAAGTAGATAAGTGCTGAAATAACAGAAACGGATAGGGTTGTATATAAATAAGCCAATTTAAAGTAATTTAGTAAAGGAAAGGCTCTATTGCTTGCTTAATTTTTTTCCTAAACATTTTATTTCATTGTAACATGCATTTGGCCTACGTGTTTTAATGTTCTTTTCCTGTTTACACCCCCTCCGGGGTTTCAGTACACTAAATTCAAAAATCATTGCCTTTCGGGAATTCATTGGTATTTAAAAGCAGATCCCAACATCTTACAAATTGCAGTTGTAGTCTCTGTAAGGTAATGGTCAATAAATAAGGGAGAATAAGAATACTAAAGCTAGATTGCATGAAAACAAAGAAAAAGAGCATACTGCATTCTTTCTCAACAAACAAAAAAGCATAATTGAGAAAAATTCATTTTTATGTTTCCTTACATTAGATGGGACCACTGAGTGAAACATTCACTGATGAATTACTCCTGTAATCTGTGTAGGAAAAACAGCTACTGGCAAATTAAAGAGTCCTGGAACGGAGCCATGAGAACTAAATGGCTAAAAATGAAAACAGGAAAACATTTGAGAGTATTCTACAGAATGCAGATCTTTCAATACCTCCCCCTTCCCACTGGTTAATTCATCGTCATGGAAACAGAATTTATCAAAATGTTCTTGCTCACTCCTAGTGATCCAGTGAGTAGACATGAAGGACTGGTGAAAGGTAATTCAGGCCAAAGCAATTTGTGTATATGATACGCTGCAGCTCATAAAGTGGTGAATTTTCAATGGTGCCATTGTGTCGTTGAGCAGGTTTCTAAGTCTCAAAGGGGTCACTTTTTTTTGTTGTTGTTTTGGTTTTTGTTTTTCAGTCTGTCAGACAGAAAACCCAAAAACCTTTGCTAGTGAGTAAGCCTGGTTAACTAACCCCATGGTTAGTGAAAGTGATTGAGTTGAGGTTTTAATTCACCTTTTCCTTTCAATTTGTGTTGTGTCCTTCCCCCTCCCCCGTTTCTAAAGGGTGATCAAATCCAGGACTTGGTAGCATTTCTTTGGTTCATTCATCTGCCTCAGCAGCATTCTTTGCTCTTGGTAGCTTGGAGATGCAACAATTCTTCACTCTTTATTATCACCAACTCTGCTTATCTCTTAACAGAAGCTGGGTGTTGGCAATCACAGCCTGACAGACCCAGACAGCTGGAAGCTGACACCTGTGCCAGACCAGAATTAACCCTGCAATGGAGAAGCTTCTTGATTTATAAAAAAAAAAGTGACTGGAGGGATTTCCTAAGGAAAAGTGCCATTTCAGTATTTTTTTTTTAATTAGACACCATCCATATAGCTGCCAAATTCAGGGAAAATTGTGGTTTTTTTTTTTTTTTTTTACTTATTTTATGTTTGCAATTAGTGACTTGTTGTCATGGAAACCATGCTTCAGATGATTCTTGAACTTAAATGGCTGAATGTGATCAAGCCAAAGCCCTCCCCTCTTTTTAGGGTCCATAGTCAGTGTCTCTCTCTGGTTATTCTGATAACAGAATCACATAAAGCATCTCTAAACACACAAAATAACGGCATGGGGCAACATCAGTTAGAACTAAATATTCAATAATTCATTCTTTAATTAAGGCTCTTTCTTCTTTTCCTGAAGCTGTAACCCTTTCAAGTCTTAAAACAGACAAGAGAACTAAATCATTTAGTAAAAGAAATCTTCTCTAATTAGCAGTTTGTGATACACTAATGAAGAAAAACAAGATTTAAATTTCTTTGTTAGGTTCTTAATACTTTAATATAGAAAAGAAAATGAAAGGGCTTCATTCAAAAGTTCCATTCGAAGTGAAGTAACTGTGGTTTGAGGCTCTAGCCTTTCTGTGTGCATTTCTTTGTCTCCGAGTGAGGGAGAGTTGGAGTTTATCACAGAAACAACATAGTCCTTTTGGGGTTCCTGGCAGCCAGAAATAATTAGTCTATATTGAGACTGCCCGCTAAGTGTCCGTATTTGCATATGTGTCTACTCTGTGTTGGATCTGGGAAATGAAAACCTCCAACCACCAGAGCAGCTCATCTTTAAAAATGAAAAGAAAAAAATCAAACACTCAGACACTCTGGATCTACTGCTGACCTCTGCTTGAATACAGCATTCACGCCTCTTCAGAGAAACTCCTCTGCAGCGTGGACATTAAGCTCTGTGTGGGCCTTACTTTGCTCTCCAGGTGTGGGGATCTCACTCCTCTTGCTGGTTCAATAATGCTCCCTCATAGCTGAGAGACCCTCAAGAGAGGGAACCAAGGAAGCCTAGACAATTATGTTTAGAACTTAAGGGGCATATTACGTACGTATATGAAAAATAGATGAAAGTATAGGAAGCATAAAAATAAATATACAAAAAATAAAGGCTTTGAAATTTTTTCAACTACAACAGATAAATTCACAAATGTTATGTAATTGAGATAAAAGCAAATATTGGCATTGTGTTACATGCTATCTCTGTCTCCCTATTGATCCCTCTCTCCCTCACCCTTCCTCTCTCTCTCTCTCTTTCTTTCTCTCTATTCCGTTATGTCCTAAAGGAAGATAACGTATGTAGCTGGTGTGTGCAATGTGAGATAATTTGGCTGATAATCACAAAATCTTACTTTTAAAAAGCATGACTTAAAATTTTCATTTCTTAGTTTGGATAAATCATCTAACCTCCTATGACTTTGTTTTCTTATCTTTAAACTGGTGAGCATATCTGATCACTTTAAGTTCCCAGGTACATATATAAAGGATGTGGTTTTGGGTTTTGAGGCCCTCCAAATACATTCTGGATTTTTACAAATTGATCAATGACAGTAGTGACAGGCTTTTTAGTTTTTAAAGACAAAGTTAGTATGGAGGACAATATGTGCTTCTTAGACTCTAGAAATCGATCCTAAGGAATAGATAAAGATGAAATGTATGTATCATGGCAGTGTGGCAGTCAGAGCGTGGAGGACAAGAGAAAACTGGGAAACTGGGAACTTTGTGCCTTTTTCTTAAATACCAATTTTAGCTGGAAGCAAAAAGTATCACTTTACTTCTTGCCAAGAAAGAATATGCATAGTGGACAAAGATAATAGAAAAGATGTGATTGCTGGGGGCACCTCTTTTCATTCTGAGGCCAGAGAGAGTTAAATGAGGGTAATTTTCTTGTCTTCTATCTCATAACCCTCATTCATACACAGTCCCCTGCACAGAGATAGACCAAGGCGTTCTATTTCTTCCTGAAGAAAGGTTCCCATGAAGGTCAAACATAGTTGAGAACTACAAAGAATGGCACAGGTCTCCTTGTGCCTCTCCCTCACAGCTGTGTGTTACACGTGTACAGAGAACTTAGCTTAATATGATCCATTAAAAACTGGTGAAGAGGAAGGACATTCATATTTAACTTAAATGCAAGTGAAAAGTAGGCACTCAGAACTCTGTGCTTTCTTCCTACATTGATTTTATCTGCTTCAGAAAATTAACAGCCTGCACTGAAATCAAATAGATGAAAAATACATTTCTTTAAACATTGTGCTCATGAGGGGAAAATCTCATTCTCTCTCTCTCTCTCTTTCTCTCTCTCTCTCACACACACAAACAAACACACATACACACAGGTTCTAACCTATCTTTTTCTTTCTGCTTCACCCAGTCACATATTTATTGGAGGCATAGTTAAAAATGCTTTGGGACAGGAGACACAGTGTAGTAAAATTCAAGATATCATCAAAAATGTGCACAGCTGTTCCTGGGATGTCAGATCAATATGTTTTTACTCTTTTTGTAGATTATCCTCCCCAGGCTGTCATGATGAGTACTCTGAAAAGCCTGGGCTTGGTTCTGGTAACTCTCACGGGAATGTCATTAGCAGCGTTAATTGCATATTTCCCGTCCTTCTTTGGTGGTATCACTCTCCACTGGATTTCCAGTCTTAATGGCACACAACACTGGTGGGAGATATGTAACATAATTCCATTTGCTGTATCTGTCACCCAGAAATGGTACCCAAGGAAAAAATCTATACCTGTTATTGGGTCACAGTTACTATGTGGGGCCAGAAGGATAAGCTTATATCTTGAAACATGCAGTCCAGTATGTAAGAATTCATATAAATTCATAACACACTCAGAGCCACCTGCCCAATGGTCTGGTCCAAACATAAGGTAACTTCCTGTCCTTTATTCCTTCTATCACATGACCTGTTGTATAAATCAGAAATGGCTGGGATAGGAATTGGCACTTGAGCCAAACACAGTCATCTTGTAAATTGGCCATTAGGCTATGAGGTAGTTTAATGAATGAATTCTGTCAAGTAGATATGCTTGCACTGTAGTGTGAATGACCCACTTACATTATCTTTTACTGAGCAGAACACAACAAAGAGAGCAGGACAGACTCAATTTATCAAAGTTGAAATGCAAGGAAAAGTAGAAAGCATGAGGTGGTAGGGCTGTGTAAACGATGAATGAAAGAGAAAAGGAAGAAAGAAAAGAGACCACATCCATTCACCATATAAAAAAAGACATATAGAAATAGTGACTGTTACAGTGAGCAGAGGGGTGGGGCTTTTGGGATGGGACAGTAAGGCATTCAGCATCTGCATGGAGCTTGTTCCCTTGGCAGTTGAAATGTTTTCTTACACTCCCTAATTTCCTTTTGTGTTCTTGTAGCATGGCCATGTCCACTGAAAATTCTTGGCATTAATTCTTCCAATATTTCTTCTCTTCATTTTTCTCTATATTCTCTTTCAGCATGCTTATTCATTGTATATTCCCTGGCATTTGTCTTTTAGTTCTTGAACATTTTGCTCCTTTTTTCATCAGTGTTTTTAATAGTAAATTTTGCTTTTCAGTGTGGGAAGTTCTATTAACTCATCCTCAAGATCAGCAATTCTTTCCTGGGTTATGTCCAGCCTACCTACAGATATGCCCATCAAAATCACTCACCCATTCTGTTATCATGATTTTTGTTTTTAGCATGTTGTCTTGATTCTTAAGAGTCTCCATTGTTTTTCTTACACGACCCACCTGTGCTTACATCTCATCCTCTGTTTCCACTAGAGTTCTTAGCATATTATCCACAGCTAAGTTGCAGTTCTACTGATTCTGAAATATTTGCCATCTCTGAATTTAGCTCTGATACTTGCCTTTTCTCTTCAGACCATTTTTTTCCTTTTAATCTACTTCTCAGTTTGTGTTGTTGAAATTTAAATATTGTATCTTTTGAGTCAGAGGACCTGAAATTATCACAGTATTTGTGTGCATTTTTATATTTATCTGACTAACAATTAGATTATATTGACAGTTTGCAATAACTATAGAAACTAGAGGCTAAAACGTCTTCTGGCATCCTTGTCTGTCTTGAATTTTGAGTTTCCATAAAGCCTCCCTTGTGAGCAGGGCCCAGACTTTAGTTTTTTAAAACTGTGATTGGCTGTTATTATTCAGGAGGGCCGTTTACCTAATGGTGAGATGTGTGAGGGTGGAGAGTCATCTTGTAGCACTGTGATTGTGCCTAAGTCTGTATTCCATGGCTGCAGCCTTCACAGTTATTCCTCAGTTTT